GACAGTTCAGTCGTGAAAAAAAATAAAAAAAAATCTTAAGGTACCAGAAGGGTTTTGCCTGCCACTCTGCCGTGTTTGTGCCTCGCCAAAAAGCCTCTCCTCATTACAGTGGTTCTCTACTTTGCTGCCTTACAATGATTTTAAATGAATTTTTGTTAAGGCTGCAACTGACCAATATAGTCTGTACAAATTTCAGAAGATAACATATTGGACACAGTGAAGTTAATGACATCAAGAGAGGCCTTGCCATAGTTAAACTGAAAAAGAATCTTAAATCTGTTGTTCCTTATATCCTGCTGGTCTTTCCGATATCACAATATATCCTAGAAAAACGAACTGAGAACTGGTGTGGCATAATTCATGTGCTAATGTTCCGGTTGTCATTCAGCTGGGACCTAATTGAAGAATGATCTGACCTCCAAGTATTTTGTAGAGTACCACTGACCTGGGCGCAAATTACCATGTTGAAATTGAATTAGTATTCAGACAAACTGAACTTAGGAACCCATGCAATGAAATGTGATTAAAAAATAAACTTCTTATATGAATATCATTCAATACTAGTTTGCAGTTACGAAAAACTCACATTGCCTGTTCTAACAACTCATGTGTTTATTCACATGCTTATTAATAAAAAGATTCGCTATTAATGTGTTAATGTGGCATATGGACACAATATAACAATGAACAGATTATTAGTCAAAACCAAACTCAAGGACAGTGTTGAAAAAACGTACGTACTTTCTTCCCTTGGACATCTTGTACAATACACTTTCCCATGCATATAGTTTTAATAAACCTACTTTGCCTTAGTCTTTCTACATAGCTAAATCATTTCAACATCTCCTCTTCCACTCTTTGAATTATACTTTTCGTAGCACCAAATCGCCTAATTTCTTCAATCCTCATTCGCTGCATTATATTTTTATCCAACATGTCTCAATGACACGAGATATACCCCGCCACCAACCTATCTATCATTCGCTGTTACAGACACCGTGCTTCACACCTATACAAACGTAGGGGTACCAAGCATTATCTACCATGATTGTAAAGATAGTGATATCTATATAATAAAATAGTTAAGGATGGCGCTGATGTTGCCAGTGGCGTGTCAACTGTTAAGGCGGTAATGTTTGTATAGCGGTACGTTCACTCACATGATCAGTGGCACTGCTCATTAAACTCTCGTCTCGGGGCAAAATCTTTAAATCTACCGACACCCATCAAATGTATCTTTACAAGAAATTGTTAAAGTGATCACAAAAGAAATGATTAATGACTGGCGTTACATGCGAAGACCCAGCCAGACAGAGAGCTTCACGTGACAAAGTTCATGGCATCATAAGCACGTTATAATTCTTAATCAATTTGAACCCTTCTCTAAAACCTCTTTTTTAATGTTTATGCAAACATTTTCGTTAGTGCTTTTTTTTTAGTAGTTACTACCAACCACAGTATAATAAAAGTCCTGACGTCAAAACTCAAAATCCAATCAGAGAGGGTGACGAGGCAAGTCATAATCTTCTACCAATCAGGAAGCTTTCCTGTCGAATCTCAGTTCTGTACCCCATTCTAGTCAGAATACTCACTCTCTTAAATATTATAAAGTAATGTATTTATGACCGAACTCAATTAAAACATATAAAAATTTACGAGTGCATAACATAAAAAACAAAACAACATTAGTTTTACGAGTTTATAAAACTGTTAGATCTCTCGCTTCCTTTCGTCTCATTTAAATTTCATCAACGCTAGCATAAGATAAAAAGTATACAAGGATATGTTCTCATGAAGGTCAAGTGAATGCATTTGTTTTCCTTTCTTCCTCGTGAGTGAGTTTTTAATTACAAATGATCCTTGGTACACGTCTCCCACACTAAGTTTATCTTACATAATTGAAATAAATTTTCCTATAATGTTGATGCAATTTACAGTTTAAATAAAGAGGTCTCATAACATTAGGACTCAGTGTATATACAATAGGCTTTATCATTATTTTTTTTTAATTACTACTCTTGTTATAATAAGGGGAAGCGCTACACTCATAGGGGTCATATAGCACCTTTGGAATGGGAGGTAATCATATTCAGACTAAAGAAAGGGAGAATGGATCCAACTCCTTGAATCACGAGACCCTCACCAACATCAAAACACCGATGAAAGGTGTATTATGGTATTCTTGTTGTTACTGTACGGTGAAATGAGACTCTTGAAGAGATGGAAGTCGATAGACCTTAAAGTAACAGTAATACCTGGTAACAGTAATACCTAGTATTACTTTCTAATACCAAGTGGAATGATAAACGATGTTTAACCTGTTACTTTGCTTGAGATTACCACAGTCCCTGCACGTGAAGCCTCGCTCCCTCCGTCCCATAGCATTTCACATAATTTTCTTCCCCAAAATTCACTTTCGTATATTAATATTATAAATGTTATTTTTACATCACTTGTATTGTTATGGTTACTTTGAGTAACTGTTGGTAGATAATCAGTCAGGAAAAATAGGCTGAAGTTGCTCAAAGTGAATATATTGTCTATGTCTAAAGAATATATATTTTGGGTGACTGTTAGTAGATAATCAGTCAGGAATAATAGGCTAGAGCTGCCACAGTGTATACATAATCTATGTCTGGACAATATATAAACTACTTGGGATCAAATTTGATTGAATCTCATTCCATAAGCACTGTAAGATCCTTAAGGATTTAACGCTTTCCCGTGAATATAATAATTTTATTGTTAACATAAGAACATAAGAAAGGAGGATCACTGCAGCAGGCCTGTTGGCCCATACTAGGCAGGTCCTTTACAATTCATCCCACTAACAAAACATTTGCCCAACCCGATTTTCAATACTACCATAGAAATAAGCTCTGATGTGCAAGTCCCACTCAAATCCAACCCCTCCCACTCATGTACTTATCCAACCTAAATTTGAAACTACCCAAAGTCCTAGCCTCAATAACCCAACTAGGTAGACTGTTCCACTCATCAACTACCCTATTTCCAAACCAATACTTTCCTATATCCTTTCTAAATCTTAACTTATCTAATTTAAATCCATTACTGCGGGTTCTCTCTTGGTGGATTAGTGATTTCATGTGGATTATATTAAATGAATAGTGTTTAACTGCATGATACATAATTTTCCGCACTTTAAATGCATTTTCAGTGTACTGTTTATTCAAAAAATCTTTTATCTTTTTTTGTTTAAAGGGCTTCAATATCTAACGTTATTTGTCGTAATGGGTCACTATCGAATGCAATCCTCTCCCACTATTGCTTCATCAGTGACCAGTGAGTCGCCAGCCACTACCAAGTCATCAGTGACTATAATGCCCCCACTTACTACTGAGTCTCCAATCATGTTTTAAATATATATTAATTTCAGAATTTAATTGTTAGGACAGTGTATTAAAAACAACCATTAATCCCCAAGAACTTATCGTTTACCGCATTTAAGTTATAAATACAAAACAACCAGATTTATGCTTTGCACTATTATGTTTGAAATTATATTATCTATAAAACTGTAGCCAAACCTCCCATTACTGTACATGAAAAAAAAGGTGCATGTAGTTAATTTTGTTGACATTAAATTTATACTATTAAATTGTTTATAAAACAATGCTGGAGTATTTTTTAGATGGATGTGGGACGAGAAATCTCTCATCCTGCGTGACAGAATAAGACAGATGAACATAATTAGCTTCTGTTCCCACTGTGTAAGTATATAACTAGGGTGGGAGTACAAAGCTGATGTATCCAGTTTTGCTAAATAAATAAAATAAAAGAGTTCTATTAATAAGTAAACGACTGCAGAATTTTTTGGATTGACTAGACCACTTGAAACTGAAAGATAGAAATAAATTCTGGCTTCAAATACACCTCATTCAAGTAATTCTTATCAAATACCAGTACAGTTATACAATGAAAATATATACAAGTTCAATTTATCACGAATATTCAAACATTTCCTGATCACTTAATGATAGCACAAATAACAGAAAACGCTCGGTAAATATGGTTGTGCCTGTATGTGCAATATCGGAAGGAATGTTCAAAACACACTGACTACAAGGTCATTAATTCCGCAATTTACTTGCATGATAGCATCAAGAATATTTTAATTCCTACAACAGGATTTATACAGAAGAGTATACACCCTGAAAGATATTCACTTAGTAAATACACCTGGTGCAAATCTTGTAAATCTAGCAAAAACTCACTTAAAACCACTCATTTGCATTACTTCTTTGGGAGTCTATTTACAATTATTTGTAAATTTGTAACTAACTTCTCTGATAGTTACAACATATATTACAGGTTGCAACACTAGATGAAGCAGGAGTTTTGCTAAATACTGCTTTGTCGACAGCAATTAAACTTTTTGCTTCAATTAGTTTCACCAATATTAGAAAGTTTATTAATAGCCACTCTGCTTTATGTCTGATATATTAATAGAGGAAGCTATTTCTATTTTGTTTTTCCGTGGGAGCTTATTATAGATATGTATTTCAAGTTATTATTATTATTATGGCTTCCCCATGAATATAATAGCTTGTATGGCTCACGAAATCGTAGTAACACGATTGCAAACAAATCACAGAATAGGTAGGATTTGAACCCATGGCAGGAGAATCCTAAAACTCAATTTCATGAATTGCAATTATTGTTTAAGAGTTAGATTCTACTGTAGGAAAAGGGAAATTGTTTTAGACATTATTAATTAGCTTTATGAATGCAGCTGCTAAATTTAGTGACAAAATTTATCGTTTTTTTAATAAAGTATTTTTTACATTTTCATGAAAGAAAATTTAGTGCACCACAAAAATTTAGTGTACCACAAATACTAATAATACTGAAGTCAGTGGTGACAGTTGATTACAAAACGGGATAAGGCAAGAAATTATGTTTTAAATTGTGAAATGTACAAATCACGAAACATCATTGGTATAGGTTGACGACGATGCTAGTAACTATGGTGAACTTGCCTGATTTATCATGGTCATGGTGATCCGAATCAGAGGTGTTGGTGTGGTCCCCAGCGGAGCCTGGGCTCTGAGGACCCTCCATACCCAGGGATTCCCTTCGGCACATGCTAAGCTCACCCAGGTGACGACCTCCTAGACCTGGCGGTGCTAATCCTAGGAGAGGTGGGGGCAGCGCACCCTGAAAGCCCGCAAGTGCAGGAGAAAGTGGGTAGTGATGTAGGGGCGGGTACGGCAAAGAGGGTAGAAGAGGGGGTGGCAAACCAGGTAGGTGTGGCAGTAAACAAGTGTTGTAGAGATGCGGAAGGCTTAGTCCTAGTGGTGCCAGTGCCCCACCACCTGGACCCCCACTGTCTTTCACTCCCCCGCCGCTACTGCCGCCAAGGAGGTACTCCATAGCAAAGCTCTTCCCTCTCTGGCTGGCGTGAAGACTGGCTGCAGTGTTGCCGGACATCATGTAACACCACGTCCACTTTACTCACGCAACTTACAAGCAAAGTTTTCCCAAATCTGATCCACCAACACACTTCTCACACAACGAAAAAATCATTCGTGTCTCTGCACCCTATGCTTTTCTAAATTTTCCAACGACAACACACAGGCAAAGTTATTCAAGTTGACTACTGATGTGGCCAGCAGCAGACTTGACACAGACTCGTGTAAGAGGTGATAGCGATGGGCCAGCCTGTGCCTCCCGCCAGCGGCAAGGAATCTGATAAAAGGCGAGCGAGGACGCCATAAGCCGTGGAGGTGTCCCGCTCCGCCCACCGCCGCCCCGCCTGTATGATGGTATTGGTTGCTGCCAGAAGGTTAATCCACAGCCCTCGCTGAGTGGCGAGTTTCCTCCACTGACTCCACCTTCATCGTTACACCACATCAAATGGGGAATGGAGCACCGCCTTGTGGTAAATTATGGAAGAGGATTGTGTTTCTGCAGGAAATTGACGCCCTATTATTTGAATGTTTGCTTCTCCTAATAGCCTAGCGATTTTTATCAGTCCCGCCGTACATAAGTGGCCATCAGAAATGATAGCAGGCCATTGTGTACCGTGTGGGCTATACACCGCCACTGAATAGTAGGCAGCCGCAATCTTGGGTGAACAGAGGCACAGGGGCGCCTAAGAGGACGTTAAATACCGAGAGGATTTTAGTGACAAGGCCGGGCTATGCGTTCAATATGTAAGAGTAGGAACTTCCTCTGGCCCCAAAATACCTCTCTCAACCTTTGCCCTCTTCACTATAAACCATGTTCATTATTACGAGCTTTTGAGCTGCGAGAGAGGTACTGCTGAAGATTGGTAACTAGAATTTTTGTAATAGTAGATCACCTACGACAATCTCGGCAGCCAAATAAGTTTTTATAAGAATTGCATTTTTGCTTGAGATGTACAATCTACAGTACAAGTAAATGTAACATGTGAGTTCTTTTGCCATGGCTCTACTGCTGGTGTGTGGGTCTTTCACTTCATAACCATTTCGTTTGGTCAGTAACTAGATAGTTGACCATGTAAGCACAGGCTGGCTAAGGAGGAACTGTAATCCATGGACTTCCGTTCAACAGCATATTTTTTTAATTAAAAATCCCTTGATATTTACTGAGTAATCGTTGCACAATAGTATTAGTATTATATTCACGAGGAGGCGCTAAATCCATGGGGTTCTGACTGCTTGGATGACCCTTGTCGGTTTGACGCTTTCTTTGATTATAATAATTATAATCAGAGTACTTGGGTTAATGGGAGGTAATCAGGCTTGATCCATAAAAGGGAAGGGTAACTACACTTCTTGGATTAAGTGCCCTTCAAAAACATCCAAGATTATTTTTGATGACACCTCTGCTAATGCAACGCCTCATCTATAGTGGTGGAGTATAGTAGTGTTACTGTGTGTATTGTAGTGGTATTATGTGTATTGTATTGATTCTGTGTGTATTGTACCACTGCTGTATATATTGTAGTGATGTTTCTGTTGTAGTGGTGCAGTACGTACTGTAGTAATGTGTGTATTGCAGTGATGTTTATATTGTAGTGGTACTGTTCATATTGCAGTGGTACTGTGTGTATTGTAGTGGTGCTAGTGTGGGTGTGGCGCTGCCACAGCCCCTTTACACCCTTACTGTCACTAGAGCCAAGCCTAGTAGTATACTATAAAACTCTAGTATAGGTGTAGCACTGGTACAGTCCCTTATACACATTGTCACTAGAGGCAAGCCTGTGTACAATAAAAATCTTGTGTGGGTGTGGGGCTAGCACAGTCCCTTACATACACTGTTATAGGGCCAAGCCGCGTGCTATAAAAATGTGCAATAACAAGAAACAAAAGTTTTCAAAATTGTTTATTGGGAATGCACTTACATTTCAAAACATGGAGACTGCATCACGGCAACACCATAGCACGTATTTTAACCTCTCAGAATTAATCCCTTCAATCCTATGATGCCGGCGAAATGCTGTTAAACCTCACATGTAAATCACACTCGCTTATATGCTTGCACTTGCACACTCGTACAAACACACACACACACACACCCAAGCATTGGTACAAACATATATACATGTATTCTAAAACACACACACATACCAGCGACCAGTGAAAAGGCGGGGCCAGAAGCTATGAATCGACCCCTGCAACAACAGTTAGGTGAGTACAATTAGATGAATACACACACACATTCAAGAGAAGCAACGACAGTAATGGGAAACGCAGAGAGACAGAAGGTGTGGAAAATTGCATTTATCTGAATGTAACTCATTATGTACATAACAGTAAATGATAACAAAGATAATTATTATTTATCAGAGTTACATAGACAAGTAGGAATTTGGGACACCTAGGTCGCAAAAATGCCCCCCTTCGATACCTACCACTGTCATATCCACAAGTTGCTCTGGACCTATTAATTATCAGATGAAAAATACATCACCAGGAATGCTGGTAAATATATAAATTTGTGGACTGTATATTAAAAATAATAAATGGTTATATATATACACAATTACATAACAGAAGGAAAATATATCTTAATATCACTCACCAATTTGACTGGAGATTAATGTGTATCATACTCAGAATACCTCACTCTAACTAAATCTATGAAAATAATGCTGGCCAGAATTACACACAAATCTAGAGAGCTTATCTGAGGTTCCTGGAGCTGTCTTGTCCAGTCGTCTGATATCTCAAGTTATGCAGGAATGCACATCCACCAATTTCGCCTCCTATTTGAGAGGTGTCAACACAATTTTAACCTCTAGAGCACGAAAATTCTTCCCATTATACCAACGTTTGTACAAAATTCAAAACCAAGATGGCGAGTGTCGTCTGCGCGACGCAGGCTTTCCGTTTTCTATGACAAATATTATTAAATACAGTTTGGCCATCTATTTACATATAAATACTGAATTTCTGGGAAATATATACATTATTTTCCACAGAAGGTAAGGAAATGGAAGAAAAAAAGGACCTCTGCGGAAATGCTTGCAGGGAGCTGGGAGGACCAGGTGACAGTAAGAGGAGAAACAATGACCCTAATAAAAAAAATATGATATAATTTGAAAGAATAAAAAGTGGGAGGAAAGATGAAGGTCTCTAATGATCCATGGTCTTCATTAAGACGATAATAGAAGAAAAATGAGAAATAAGAAATGAGAGCTGTCATTGAAATGAGAAAAGAGGATAACACACTGGTATTTATGACGTAATTAAAGGGTCAAAATACACTTAATCAAACACCCTTGTGACAGAAAAATGGGACATGATTGTGAGTTGGAAACCACTGTTAAAGCATACAGAAGTATATATGTACCTGCATGGAAATGGAACAAAAAAGAAGAGGAAACAGCTACATGAAAAAATAAAAACGACAAACACAGAAAGGAGAAATAGGGTAGGTGATAAAAAGGACTGAAATCGCAGCCTCCAGAGTTATACTATGCAAAGTCCAACATATCCATTCTGAACCCCAGTTCCCCTTTCCACTCAAGCACAAGTATTCAGAACAACTACACCCCACCTCACATCCTCACTCAAAATCAAGACCCCTTCCAGTATAAAAAAATCTCCCACAACCGTCTCTCTCACAAACCCCCGGTCCCCTCCTTCCTCATGATCCATGGGGAAGAGTGAGGTAACCAGGGCACCAAGAACCAGACGACAGTAAGAGAAATTAAAATAAAAGTAAGGTACCTAAATGCAGATGGAATAACAAGAGTGATAAATGGAATGGGTGAATAGCAAACAGAAACTCCCAGACAGCACTTCCAAAGACAATACGCACAGAGATAACAGATGCAATTTTCCCAATGGGATATCAAATTCACAGGAAGGAGAGAAGAAATAGAGGAAGGAAGGAGCAGCACCAAAGTAGGTTTAAGGGGATGAGAGTCAAACAGGTAAGTCAAATGACTACATCATAAGCACGCTCAAGACCAACTTTACCGGATGTGGTGATAGCAGTGATGTATGAGCCACCACTAAACGGCAGGAGACCAACCAGCAATGTGACAGCAGTTTTAGACACCATAATAGAATTAGCAAGAACAGCCAATATAAATAATGCAAAAGAAGATTTTAACTTCAAAGAAATACACTGGGAGAACTGAGATCCACACAGGAGACAAGGAAACATGGAGGGTTAAAATGATAGAGGTAGCGAAGGAAAACCGTGTGCCAACATGTCAGGGATACAACCAGAGATAGGAAGAAATGAGCAAATCTGACACAGGGGAAATGGAATCTAACAAGCCCTGGGTACAACCGACCATGCAGTTCTGAGTTTCCAATGTCTTGTAGAAATAAACATGAAAACGAACATAGCAGGGAAGGGAAGGGAGAAACCAGAAAGGGAATTTTTTAATGTAGTGCAACAGAAAAGGGAATCTGAACGAGAGGAAACGAATGAGGTATAATATTTAGGTAGAAAGTGCCAGGAGGCAGAGAAAAATCCATACCCAGAAGCAGAAGAAAAAGTGGTAAGAACAGATCCATGGGTCACCCAGAGATGCAGAAAGGTGAAAACTAAAATTGCAAGAACACGGAAAAAATATTGAAAGCAAAGATCATAAGAGGAACAAGTAGAGGAAGAAGAGGAAATGAATACGTACGGCTGAGCAACATTAATTTAAAAATAACATTGAAAGCCAAATCTGAACCGAAGTTGCTATACAGTCAAATAAAAAGGATGACCTACAGGTAGTAAAATTAAAGAAAAAAGAGAAGAGCTCACAAGAAATAGCCAGAAAGCTTGCAAGGAGCCGAACAGAAGGTGTAAGGAGGGTTTCTCGGAGGAAATAGACGTATTACCAGAATTAGAGAGAAATAGTAAACCAACGAGTACTGGACAAATTACACACAAAATTTGAAAAAACTACTGAGTAACTGCATACATCAAAGGCGATAAGATCAGACAATAACTCTCCGTGGGTTCTGAAAGAAGGAGCAGAAGTATTGTGTAAACTACTAGCCAAAGTCACCAACAAGTCACTTCATAAAGGACATTTGCCACAAGTGTGGAAGAGAGCAAAGGAAGCCCTATGATTTAGGAAAGGGACAGACAATAGTTAGCATTAAACCGCAGGCCAGTGTCACTGATATGCATACTGTGTAGTGTAAAATTCTATTATTGCTCGAAGGGGAGGGTAGCTCGAATTCCATGAATCGAAAACCCTCCACCAGAATCATGGCGCGTCTCCCTTGAAGGGTTTGTCTAACAATGTAATTCCAACATTGGCCTCTCATTAAGAACATGCAGGAAAGGGCATGCTGA